CCTTATCCCTTATCTTTATCTTATCTTAAGTAAGAGTGAGTTACCATTAGGAGTAGGTAATTAGGAGTTTGAGTTCAAGTTGGAGTTTGAGTTTAATTAGGAATTTCCTTCTATAATCTCCTATTTAAGGAGCTACGAATTGAAATAAAACATTCAGTTTTCCAGCCAAGAAAAGAGTGAGGAGAGTTAGGGTGGTCTCTTGGACAAATCACCCATTCAATTTCCACAATAGGGTCTGCACGCAAGGGAAGGCGCAAGGGGAAGCAGGGCTTTCGCACCGTGGACTGACCCATGACGGGATCCTACGCGCGGGACCATAACAGACTCAATGTTTATGCCCAGGACTATTAGTAAGGCTCTCTCCAAACCTGAGGGTAAGGCAGCTATGAAGGAAAAAATGGATGCCCTGACAAAAAGCAGACATGGGAAATTGTGGATCTACCTGATGGGAAGGAGACAGTTGGTTGCAGATGGGTTTATACTATGAAGTATAGGGTTGTTGGAAGCATAAAAAGGTACAAGGCAAGGTTGGTTGCAAAAGGGTACACTCAGACTTATGGGATAGACTACTTGAAGACTTTTGCACCAGTAGCCAATATGAGTTCAGTTCGGATCCTCTTATCTCTAGTAGCTACTTATTCTTGGCCCCTCTTCCAACTTGATGTGAAGAATTCTTTTCTTAATGGAGATTTGCAAGAGTAGGTGTACATGGACCTTCCAGTTAGTTTTTACAATGATATGGCCAAAGGAAAGGTATGCAGATTGAAGAAGTCATTATATGGTTTGAAACAATCACCCAAAGCTTGGCTTGACAGACTTAAGAGTGCATTGATTACGTTTGGTTGTACTCAAACCCAGTCTAATCATACTTTGTTTGTAAAAAGAAGGGGATCATTGGTGTCAATGTTGATAGTATATGTAGATGACATTGTAGTCACAAGAAATTACCTAAGTGAGATTGATTCATTAAAGAACTTGCATTGGGTGTTTGATACTAACGATCTTGGGGAGTAAAAGTATTTTCTAGGCATTAAGGAGGCAAGGTCAAAATGCGGGATCTTCATTTCCCAGAGGAAGTATGTGTTGGACCTACTACAAGAGATAGAAAAACTTGGGGTTAAACCATTTGATACACCTATTGACCAGAATCACAAAATTAATGCTACAGATGGTGAACTAGAAAAGGATGTTGGGAGGTATCAAAGACTGGTGGGCCGGTTGTTATACTTGTGCATGACAATACTAGATATCTCCTATGCAGTTAGTGTGGTGAATTAGTACATGCATGCCCTACGAGTTCAACACTAGGAAGCCATTGACAAGATTCTTGCTTATCTAAAAGGACATCCAGGCATAGGGATATTGTTTGCTAACCATGGACATTTGAAGTTGGAAGCTTACACATATGTTGATTAGGCAAGGTGCCTAGATGACAGGAGATATACATCAAGAGTGTGCTCTCTTGTTGGAGATAATTTGACTTCATGGAAGAGTAAGAAGCAACTAGTTGTAACCAAGTCAAGTGCAAAAGCTGAATATAAAGCTATGGGCATATGGTGTTTTAGAGCTTTTCTAGGTTTGGTCCTTATTAGGAGATATTGGAGTTGATGCAGAAGAACCTATGGTGTTGTATTGTGATAATCAAGCAGCAATTAACACTGCTCGTAATCTAGTTCAGCATGATAGAACAAAGCATATAGAGGTGGATAGACATTTCTTAAGAGAAAGGGTGACATCTGAAGAAGTGTATTTATCATGTGTTGCATCTGATTTACAGCTAGCTGATGTTCTCACAAAAGGAGTTGCAAGAAATAAGCTTGAACATGTTCTATGCAAGTTGGGAATGTGTAACATCTACTCCCAACTTGAGGGGGAGTGTTGAAATTCAACAGTCTCTTATGATTTTCTTGTTTATAATCACTAGTTAGTGTTATTGGATCATTAGTTAGTGTTATTGGACCTGAGGATCATTAGTTTATGTTGTTTTTCCGGAGCTGTTTTTATATTATGAACAGTAGCCGCTCTATTAAGGGCATATTAGTCTTTGTAATCAATATTTTTTATGAGTATATAAGATAATGAGTGGTGCTGCCAGATTATTATTGGCTTCTCCCAATCTCTTCTTCTCTTTTTCTTCTTCTCTTCTCACTAAGAACTCTCTCTTTCTCTCTTCTTTCTCACTGTTATCAAATCAGATTATTGTTTTTTTTTTCTTTTCTACTGTGTCATTGTTAAATTAATGTGTTGCATATCACTTCAAGGGACTTGGGTTACAAGGCTTACAAAGTTCACTCTGTTGAAGATCTTTCCAATCCTTTTGCATCCATGTACTTTGGTGCAGCTTATTTGTCATGGCTATCAGAATATGAAGGGAGGTGAGTTTTGTAGACTGATTAAATTGGTTCAGTATTCATGTCTACATGGATGAGTTTAATCTTAATGGAATTATTAACTTGGGGTGCTGATCCAGGAAAAGATCTCCCCAATTTATTGTTCAAGCATTCCTCAGAGGGCCAGAGAATATTAATCTTCAAGAGACAGGAACACTTTGGGTTAAATTTGAGGAAGTCTTAAGCTATTATGAACACACAAAAAAGTATGCATCTTCCAGTTATTTATTTATTCCTTTTGATAGATTTATCGCACTTAATCTAGAGGACATTCTATGCTTTCTTGAACTTTTTTTATCAGCACGCTTTCTTGAACTTTTTAACTGATTTTTCTCTCCAGGGAACATGGAAACTGCTCCATTTTATAAATTGCATATCACTTGCATTACTCTAAAGGCACCGAAGGTCACTTGGTTCTAATTTATATGAAGGTTTGGTGATTGTTATTTTTATGAGCTACACCTCTAATTCGTTGGAAGTGTCAAATAGGATGACTAATCATGTGGACATAGTTGAGCAAATACTATCAAAGCTAAAGTTCTTTGTAAGGATGTTCAAATGAAGAAATTTTCATATTTTGGCCATTGAAACTGTGAGGACTTTTAAGCAGTCTTGTTATGTTGATTAATGTATCTTTTGCATGTAATGCTTCACCATAATAAAATGGATAAGGATTCCATTGGTGACCACATTTAGGGCAGTCAAAACTGATTGAATGTGGTAAAAAGTACCAAGTTATTGAACAAAGAAATAAAACTCCATGTCGATCAGATTTCAATATGTATGAAAAATTTTATTTGCAAATTGTAGAGAACAGCCTAAACGAAATAGGAATGCATGTTTTTTTATGCAAGATGCTTTATGTTTATAGCTGAATCACTCCATTCACCTGTTCATGATAATAAAAGTTTGTCTATCATCATTCGACCATTGTCGTAGGTAACTTGCATCAATGACCGCTTTATATTGCGGAGTCGGATAAAGTACGTGACTTAATAGAGACATCAATAAGATGGGAAAAATTTTGTTTAGCAGAGTAAATGGGCATCTTACAATTATATTTCAACAAAAATTTGATCAATTAGTAGGTCTTGTTGCAATAATCAAGCTATAGGACTGTTTGTTCTAGAGCCTTTACTTGGAGTTGGATTGAACTAGAAAACCATTTATTTGATTGATGATTTAGTTGACGTTATCATGAAATCATTAAATTAGGCCTAGAAGGGAAATTCGTATCAACTTTACTGTTGATTTCAGAAGATCACCTCATTAACTTTGTTGACATATTGTGTAATTGTTAAATCGGTCTTATAAATTAAGTCCATATTACTCCTTGTCTTTGAAAGAACCATACAACTTTAGAAATTATTCGACTTTTGTTTCACAAGCAGAGGATGCCAAAGTGACTAATTGTCCATTCTACGACTTCATAAGAGTTTATGAACACTTTTGCATCCACACTATGCACAGTCGTGAAGCGTGTTGGCCTGTGGACTTGGAACCCCAAGCCCAGCACGGCCTGGACCATCGTGCCGAGCACAGCCTGTACACCTCTACATCTAACCCTCGGTGGTTCAACCATTGACCCATTCAATGTGGTCACCAGGTCACGGGTTGCACACTCAATGTACATATAAACTTTTGAAGGCCATAACATTGCACTCTAATGTCTGATTGGGGTGATCTTTTTTATTTTGGATAACTTTTTGAGATCTATCCCAAGGTATCGTAGACACTTTGCCCATTATTTTTCATAACAAAAAAACTTTTTTGGCCTCAAATTACAATTTTTAATATTTTTATAAATAAAAAAACTAAAAGCTCAATTTAAAAACGTAAGTTAAATATAAAAAATACATATGTTACATGTAAAACATAATTGTACACTGTTTATGAACATGTATTTGTGCACATATATATGCATACACACATAGATATATATACTAAAATATATAAAGTGCTAAGTGGTCTAACCCCGTTCGACTCAGACAGTCGAACTGGTGACCCGCGACCTAAAGGCAAAAGCGGGTTGGCCTCATGTTGGTGTTTAAAACATTGATTTGTATTTGTAGAGGTGAAAAGTTGTCCAAAATGACACTTTTTCCTTGTCTTGAACCCAACCTGACTTTTTCAAATTAGGTGTAGATCAAGTCGGGGTTTAGATTAGAGATGACAATTTCATGGGAATTTTTGGATATTCAACCCACTCAAACCCTAATAGGACTCCTTTATCAAAACCTTGCAGGGTTTTGAAAGGTTTGGGTTATCAATCCCTATTTATCAAAATACATTTCTTTTATGGATAAACCTATGCTTCTGGAAAGACGTGATATCAAAAGAGTTTTGACCAATTAAACTACCATGAATTTTGATAAATACCACTTAATTGGTTATACTTGTATGATACCTGTTGATTGGTTACAAGTATTTTCAGTATCATGTCCTTCCAGTATCATGGGCAAATCCTTCTTATATATTTTATAAGGGCTGAGATTTGAGAGGATTCAAACCCTTCCCTTATGTCCCATTATAGGCGTTGGTTAACCACAACATTTCTTCCTAAGAGAGGGACATCACAGTATCACATTTTAAGAGGGACGTCATATAATCATGTTAGACGGGTCATGACTCATGATATGTTTTAACGGGTCTAAGACAGATGGATTTGGAAAATTGAGAGGAAAATTTAAACAAGTTTGAGACTGATTTGGCATCAAGGATACTTAGGCAGATTCAAGAACACGAAGGATGATTTTTACGGGCACCCAACCCATTGCCATTCCTAGTTTAAGTTGGGCTCGGGTTGACCCAGTTTTTTTACTTCATTTTGCAAAAAAACACATTCTCATCTCTTGAACTTAAAATTGATGGATCAAGGTTCACTGATTTTAACATTATCATCAAAACAAAATTATATGTACAAATTGCATGGATGCATGCATATATACATACATAAATACTTATACAAATATGAAGATATGAAGGGTTCAGGTTTGATTAAAGCCTCAACTGTAACCCAACTCGAAGTCAGGTTCATATTTTTCAACCCTGATCCTAACCCCAACTTCAACCCAACCCAACATAAACAACCCAACTAAAGTAGTATAGAAACTATAAAATATGAATACTGTAACTGCATACAGTACAAGATGGTGTTTGGTATGACTCCATTTATTTGAAAAACTTCTGTACTTGATTCATCTTCAAAACCAAGAAAAAGTGGTTGATAAACATTTTTCTACCTTGTTTGACAATTAAGTGACATTAGACTCTATTAGGTGCCACATGAGCAAAGCAGTAAATAAACACCTTGGTGTTGGAGGAAACGTTAAAATAATGCTTCTCCCGACAGTTGACTTACACATAAACCGAGACAAATGTTTATTTGATAAATAGGCTTACCAAATAGCATTTTGGGACAAACTCCCACATGGTGATGAGCTGGCACCATTTTTCACGGAAGCTATACACCATCTATAAAGCACTTTAGGATTCACCAAAAACAAAGAACTTTACGATATAGTGGGTCGTAATTTGTGTTACTCGAACGTACAACTACCATGTAAATGCGTTTTATAATCTTGCCTTGGCACTATCTATCCAAAAGAAAAATATATACAAAGAAGAAAACCTTGAATGACAATATACAACACTGAAGGTCCAACACCATGTCCATACTGATTTCTCAAACAATAAAGAAAAATGACTTGGTCTTGCACTACCATGAACAATGTACACAATAATACATTTTAATACAGGCTTAATAATCACTAGAATAGATTTTCAAGGTTAGCATAGGTGTACTCTTCTGGATATTTTGCCACGAGATTTATTGAAACCAGATAGATACATCTCATTTGAGCTTCTTTTCTGCTGTTTCAATTTCTTTATAAAAGCAATTGAATCCTGTATCTTCGATGAGAAAATAGACAAAAAGCACAAGAATTTCTAAGAGATTAGCACTTGAACAAGAAAGGAAAGTAACAAAATAACAAATAAATAAATAATCAACCAAGTTCAAGAACAACAGCAAATTTGTTGGACAAACAGTGCATGGAACCAAAGCTCATCTAATTTTTGCCGGCTTTCAACTTGAACACATTCTTTCTACTAAAATGTGAAAACATATTTACAACATTTCCATAGTACAACTTACCGAAACTCGATCTAGATTTCAATTTGGAAAAAAAAAAAAAAAAACATCTCTTTCTCTACAACTGAAAAGAAAATATTAAGATATTACACAGGAGATTTCACTAATTCACATAAAAAGATGAAAAAAAAAAGAGAGAAAAAGACAGCAACTTTACAGCTGCAATGTCAACTTAAGGAGAGAGGTGCTTATCATGCAGATGTCTTGCCACACCATGCAATTGTGCCGATTCTCCCTGCAAAAAAAGCATGGAAACCTTAACTATTTTATGGAATGGAATGAAGGCTTACACACCATTGTCCTCACTAATTTGGTAAATACCATATCCGGTAGACTGTCTTGTAATCCATAACAACCATCTATGGTTGGTGATCTAAAGTCTATCTGCCCCTGCAAGTGTGAAACCACAATATATGAAACGTCGTCATTTCTTTGAACTATATAATATCACCACATGTCTATCTATGTGCACAATGACTCCATTAATAATGTGCCATACAATTGCCTGCATGCTCTGTTGAGTGCCATAATAACTATCACTGCTTGGTGCAATTGAATGTAATTGTCCCTGCAAAAGTTATGAAACCTCAGTAAATATTTATAATCAAGTTAAATTGTTATTATATATACATAGTAAAACTTCTTAGCGAATACATTATGTATATAATTATGACATGCCATACCAGGCCCTGCATGCCCTGTTGATTGCCATAATAACTATCACGTGTTGCCATCACTGAGTTCAATCTTCCCTGTAGCAAGAGACACATTGTATTATTCTTAAATACAGAAACAAAATTTACATTCTAATATATTTAGGCTAATAAAATATAGAAAATTGTACCAATCTTTGCATGGTCTGTTGAGTGCCATAAGTGTCAAAAGCCGGTGCTCTTGAGCTCAGTTGTTCCTACAACAATTACAAAATTGTACTTTGAAAAACAGAACATTATTCAATTTGTTATGTTCAAATTCATACTATGCCATACCATTCCTTGAATGCTCTGTTGTGCAATAAAGGAACCATCTAGCGTTGGTGCTCTTAACTGTCCCTACATCAAGAAATATGGCTATTAAATAATCGTGACATTCAAACAGCAGATAATCCATTGCAAATAAATCAAATTTAAAATCTATATATGACAAACCATATCTTGCAAACTGTTTTCAATCCCAGAATTTGTTACTTTTGGCTCCAAATGAATCTGCAACATGTAGAAAGGCTTACCTTAACTAATTATTCACTTAAAATAACTTGCAACTACAATGTGAATTAGAATGTAAAAATGCCACCCTCCATGTAACAAACCTTTCTTTTTTTATTTGCATTTTTTTTCTTGCTTGTTCTGGTAGCATGAGCATCAAGCATTCTGAGCATAGACATTGTATTGTTACCTTGATCCTCCTCTTCTATGTCATGAATACCATAAGTTGCTGATATGTTGGCATTTACAGCACTCTGAATAGAGTTATTCACACCCACACATTCTCTCAGAGCTTCATCCAAGGCACGAAAAGCAATATTGTAACTATCTTGAGACAATGAACCTTCCTCACCCAATTTAATGGCTCTTTGACAAAGATCATTGTAACGCTGTACCCTAGATTGAACCCCTTCTAATCCTTGTCTCATTGTATGCCTACTTTTTGCATCCTTTGTCCACCGCTTCAATACGTAGTGAGATGGGATGTTGGAGACACCTGAAATTTGGAGAACAATCATTGCATGTCTGCAAAGGAAACCTTTATACTCATACGAGTGACATAAACAAGAAATTTCTAACTTTCTCTCATTCCATGACACTAAGAAATCTTGTTGCTCTTCGAAGTCTTGGACCCTATATGTTATGGTTGTCTCATCTTCTTTTTCCATTTTAGGATGACATGCAACTACTCCCAAAACCTCGACTTGAAATTTCCTAAATATTGCATGTGTATAGATGGTTGACATTTGTTTTTCAAAAGGTGAAGGAGATCTCAGTGCAGGTTGTTTATGCCATGTATCCAAATCTGCTTTGGCTTCTTCCTCATACCTATCCTGTAGAACTACAACGTAGTGTTCTACAAATTCTTTCAATGTTGTTTTCCTATGAATATATCTGTCCAAGGAAGAGTTTATACTCTCAGATCGTTGAGCTGTAGACATCCCAGCAAAAAATGTATCATTCATGTAATAAGGCACCCAATATTTACGGTCTTCATATAATGATTGAAACCACTCGTCTGTTTTTAGCTCAAACCTGTCTACCATTTTCCACCATCGCTTTTCAAACTGCTCCTCTGTACATGACCTGTAAATGCATTTGTTAAATTTTTTCATAAAATTTTCATGCCGTTTGGTTATATGACCAAGCTTTTCAGGTATTTTCCTCAATATATGCCATAAACAAAAACAATGACGTGTATTTGGAAAGATTTCTGCTATGGCTGCTTTTAAGGCTTTGTCTTGATCAGTAACTATAACATTTGGAGCTCTTCCACCCATTGAACGAAGCCATGTATTCATTAACCATAAAAATGTAGATGTAGTTTCATCAGCAATAAGTGCAAATCCAAACAGTGTGAACTGATAGTGATGGTTCACTCCAATAAAAGGAACCAATGGCATTTTATATTTACTTGAGATGTATGTTGTATCAAAACAAACTACATCACCAAAATTGATATAATCTTGTCTACCTTTGGCATCAACCCAGAATACATTTCTTAGACGTTGTTCTTCATTCAAATCCATTGCATAAAAGAAGTTGGAATTCTCATCTTGCATATCCATAAAGTGCTCAAGCATAGCTTGCATATCACCCCCTTCTAAAACCAAATATCGTCCTTTATCAAACTCATTTATAATATCTTTATTTGGATAACCAAAATCTTGATTCCCATCAGGTTGCTTGGACATCAAAGCATACATTTTTCTCCTTCGCTTGATGGCATGTAAAGCATCAATATTTATATTCCTATGACTTCGAAAGAAATGAGCTTGGGATGGTAAAAGCTCATGGTTATGATCCTTGATAAAATTATGTATAACCCATTTGCCATCTTGTCTTCTCTTAACATGCATGCTAGCCTTGCAATCCGTCTTTGAGCAAGGTCGTGGATTGATGACTTTACTGGACTCATGCTTACTTCCATATCTTGAACATGCATACTTTGCATCAATAAACTCACCAGATATCTTTGAACGACGACTATTTTTTATTGAGATGCCAAATCCCATTGATTTAGCATACTCTTTATAACATGAATAAGCTGCTCCTTTTGACTCAAATTCCATACCAATATGGGGTTCTGCATTTGCACCTCCCTTAACAATAGATTCCACCATGGAAGAATTCACATCCACTTCGCCACTATGTATTTCTCCATCATCTACTGTAATCCCACCCTCATTTGGTCCAACATTTTCTGCTTCATGCTCTCCTGAAGGTTGTTCAAGATCTATTGCCATGCAAGAGTAATTCTTTTCTTGGTGACTCTTTCGCTATAGTACCTGAAACATAAAATGAAACGCACTTAGACATTATAACCTATAATAAGATCAAAGAATTATATAAGAAAATCCCAATTATTTGATCCAGTTCTGAGATGTATATTGGACATTGAAAGAACCACCTACAAAATTCAACTCTAAATCAAACCCCATCATCATTTTATGTGAAGCTTGTTTATACAATTAGAGGACTTATTTGCTGCATCTGGGCATATAATTAATTGAATGCAGCATAACCAATTCGGTTTTGGAGTTTGAAATAATGCATGTTGTCTAGTGATATAATTCAGGTCTGCCTTAGAGTTCGGCCTGACTGAGTTCAGTTATGTAGAAGAAGAAAGAGTGATAAAGAAAGAGAGAAAGAGAGAAAGAGAGAAGAGAGAATTCTGGTTCGAACTGAAAGAGTCAACTTGACTTCTCCCAGCTTGTTAAAACATAACTGAAAAGACCTATGTGCCCTTACTTAAGTTAAGAGCACATGTTTCAACACAACATTACACATCAGCAAC